TCCCCTTTACTGCATGTCAGTAGCATCCATGTTATGATAGCAACTGCTAGTGCTGATAAACCAAATGTTGTAGCTGCATTCTCGAAACCTTCCAATAGGTGGACTTCAATGCATGTGAGATTTTCCGTATCATTGGGGAATGGGAATGTTTTCTGAGTGACATTAAAGATGTCAAGACAGTAGAGGTAGCGATAGATCGGGTCCCAGCTATTGATGATGGTATTTGTGGAATTGTGCAAAGCACTGTCCCAGAACGTGAAGAAGCTATGTATGCATATAATGAATGCAACAAAGAGAAGGTAGTAAGTATAGCAGACTGGAGCTTTGTATCCAAATAGGACAAAGTTGGAGCCTTTCTTTTCCAGGAAGCAGAAGATGTGCTGTGCAACTCCTATAACCCTCTTGTGGAGGCCTGCAGCTCTCTGACCAATACAGCAACAGCAGGCAAATATTGGTGCCAGTATTATGAGGAGGATCGCAGTGAGACTGGGGATCATAATGACAACAACTACTTGCATCAGAAATTGAATAAAATTACTTGCATCAGCAAACTTATCACTGACAAAGAAAGCCATGACTGCTAACAATTGACAATGGAATGGCTTGTTTGTTTTTAAAGACCTTATATTTATATATACACTCAAATAAGATTCATAGTTTCACTACTGGACCGGCCCTAAACTATAACAGCATCACTGAAGTATTGCAATACCAGCAAAGAGTTAGCAGAGACTCTTCATTAGTCACAGCAGCCGGAGGTTTGGGACCTGCTATGAAAAAAAGCCAATTTGAATTTTCTGTTTTTGTAATAATACCTGGCTGGGGCAACCAGACCAAATAAACTTTAAAAGTTATAATGACTGAGATCAGTGAGATACAAAGCAGACAATGTGATCTTCTCATTTTTTTCTTGATCCCCTTTGCCGCATTTATGCACATTTAATGATGCAATTTTTATTATCTTACTTTTTGTGTGTCTGCTCTCTTTCAGGTGATAATTGAGCTGGTGTTTGGATGTTTGGCATTACATAGCCCCAAAGGATCAGACACTGATATTGTTAGTTCAATTTAACCTAATAATACTCCAATGACAACCAAACATGGCTTCTCCTACACACCTAATGCAACAAAATGCATTTGACACTATTCTTCCTCTTCTCTCTCTTTTAGATAAGTTTTCTTGATGAATGTGATGAGACAGTTGAGTTTTATTTATCATGTTGGTCCAGGAGTGATGGTGAGAGACTAGAGGAACTAGCAGAGAAATGCACCAACCCGTATAGAGATCAAAGACCTACCATAGCTAAAGTAAGCCTGTAAGGTTAATATTATTCACTGTGACCATTGAAGGTAAGAAAATGCAGTGAAGTATACTGTATATGCATGCTATACTCATCTTGTTAAATTATGTCTCTTTTACATTATATAGGTGCTAGAGAAACTTTGACTTTCCATTTAATCTTTTTATTCTGTTTTTTCTTCTTTAATCAGTGACATCAAGAAAAGTTAACTGAATATTAAGCTTGTTTACACTTTACATGTATAGTAAATGCTAAAGGCTATCCACATTCTTTGAGTGTAATGTCCCTTGGTACTGTATAAGGGCAGGTCAGGAATGCAACCACAAAAATTTTATTATTTTAGCAAAAAATACTAGACCTTAAAAGTTACACACAACATAATTGTTTGTTCTACAGCTCTAGCTACATAATAAACTAAAGAATAGACTGTTTGTTTGTGGCAATTTTAGCTCAAATAATTATTGTTTTTGAAGGCTTGACTGCTTGGGTATCATCAGGCCATTTCAAATGTTTGATTGGTTGATTTGAGTCTTGGGCTTGTAGCAGCATCTTCCTCTTCTGGATCGATTTTCTCAAAGCAGAGCCAAGGAGTGAGCATGGTTAAACTAACAGCATCAAGTATTGCAATACCAGCAAACAGGGACTCTTCATTAGTGACAGCAGGAATGGGTGCATGAATAATTGACTCATATCTCCAGAGCAAATTCCTGTCAGCTGATACTACAACATGGGAAAGGTAGTACAGGAAAATGATGCGAGGGACAAAGAGGCCAATGACTTGAAAGAGCATGATGACTGGAATACAGAGCAGACGACCTGAGGTTCGCTTTCTAGCTCTATCTCCTTTACTGCATGTCAGTAGTATCCATGTTATGATAGCAACTGCTAGTGCTGATAAACCAAATGTTGTAGCAGCATTCTCGAAACCTTCCAATAGGTGGACTTCAATGCATGTGAGATTTTCCGTATCATTGGGGAATGGGAATGTCTTCTGAGTGACA